GATTTTTTGGTCTTTTTTATTCCCCTCTTTTTTCACTCCTAGTCTCATGAGCATACTATACAGTTTTTCAGAGTCTCTAAACATAACAGCACAATAGAGTGCAGTAAACAAACATGAGAACACAGTTAAACTATACATTCTTTAATTTGCAAAAAGGTAAAAATGGGGGCCAGGCAATGGCATAGTGGTTATGCAACTAGACCCACATGGGAGGCTACGGGGATTATGTCCAAGGGCCTCATTGTACACACTGGACATGTGTCCACAATTCAGGCTGACCAGGGTGGATCACAATGTGAAGACCCTGTTTGAGGGCACTTGTGTGTATCTATGTGTCGCTGTCCCTCTAGAAAAAAATAACTGAACATTTTTTTAAAAGATAAAATAATGCCACTCTTTCAACTAATTGCTTTTCTCTTTGGAATATATGTCATTGTTTGGTTATTTCTATTAACTTAGTAGGTCCATTATTATTAATTTTTTATTATTCATGATAAAGCATGTGCACACACAAGAAAGAGAGTGTGAAAACCCTGCACAGGGCCTGGTCACATGATAATCCTCTTCCTCCAGTCCTCCAATCTGCCAAGATGCTGGGCATGCCTACCCAGCATGTTTTCAGGCCAATCAGGTCAGGCACTTGAACCACAGTTGCCATGTGATTGCCAGTTCTGCAGTCCTGAATGCTGACTGTACCACAGAGGCTGGGTCTATTATTATTTTTAAATTAATTAATACATATTTTAAATTGTAATTTCTAATATAATAACTATCACTAGATACAAATCACATAAACAAAAATTCTTTGGGATCCTAAAAGCCATCAGAACTGCTGATCTAACTAAGCAGCCCATGCCTATTTTTTTGTTTGTTTGTTTTCAGAAAGAGACAGAAAGAAGAAGAGTAAGAAATCATCTACCCAGAGAGATGACCATGCCACAGTTCTTTCTCCTCCATTCTCTTCTTGGGATTTGGAGCAAGTACACACACATGCCCAGCATTTTCAATCTACCAGGTCCAGGACTTGAACCATAGTCTGCCAAGTGGGAAGCCAGTGCCTTAACTAGCATGCCACCTGCCCCAAGAACTCTATAACTTTTTTAAAAACTTCCTTTATTTATACAAACAACAAGTCAAAGAAAATAACTGAGGAAGAAGAATGTGTATATCCCTGTTGTGGTCACTCATATTACATGTGCGATAGTTTTAAAAAAAAAAAAAAAAGGAAAAAGAAAGAAAACAGTACACATTGAAACTATAATATACTCCATTTGTTCAAATAATCATGAAGTGGAGGATAGAAGAATATTCCACTTCACTCTAGCACAGTCTCAGCTAGACAACCGCTATGAATGTGAAGTGGCATTTCAAATGAAATTTAAACAGTGCAGATAAGAACCATCTATACCCTTGTTAACTAACAAGCACTAGGACTGGATCAGTCTTTCATCATTTAGGAGAAATAACATCACTATGAAAACATAGAGGAAAAGAACTTTAAAAACAAGTTATTTTATAATTCCATCAAAATGTAGTACATTTTCAGAAAAATTCTGAATCTTCAATAGGATGCCAGAGGACATAACATTTTCAGGAAAAAAAAATAAGAAAATGAAAGTAGAATAATAAGAACAGAACTAGATGAAAAGAAAAAGATAACAGGATGAGACAGAAAGGAAAGCAAAGAGTAAATATTGCAAAGAAGGGTAAAAAAAAAATCCATATCACAGAAAGAACTATATTGGGAAAATAAAATCTTTTTTTTTTTTTTGGAGAGGTTTTTATATAGGGAGTGTGCACTCACTAGAAAGACAGAGAAACAGAAAGCAAGAAATCACTCCCCCCTGAGGGATGGCCAAAATCGCAATCCCTTCTCCTCCATTCTCCTTTCAGGATCTTGGGCACGCACGCACACGTGCCCTGGTGAGTTTAAGCCACTGGGTCCAGGACTCAAACCGCAGTCGACTACATGGGTGTCCAGTGACACAGTCGTTGTGCCAACTGCTGGTTCCAGGGAAAATTAAATCTTTCGTTTGAGATACAATCTTGAGATTTCTTAGAAAGTAAAAAAAGAAGGAAGAAGTTAAATCAATATTATTTCAAGTAATCAAGATTCAAGATGATCATTTGAAGTATCACCCAGAATGACCAGAATACTTAAAACTGATGCAAGAATAAAGGGCATTTAACACCCACATCTCTTTACTGAAAGTGTACTTGCCTTAGCACTGTAGTTAAAGATGATATGTAACTTCATTGCCTCTAATCTGAGACACTAACAAAATGACAGAAATTTCATAAAAATATATTTGAAAGCAAATAGAACAGAATTACCAGAAGAAATATTACAATAAATTTGTGAAGTTTAAAAAAAAAACAGAAACCTGTTGACAGATAAAATAGAACACATCACAAAACACTGAAGGATCAGAAAGAGTTGACCATCAGTAAAGTGACAGGTGCGAGGATTTCAAGGATTAAGTTCCAATCTGCAAGGCTCAACAAGAGCCAGGAGGATCAAGCATAATTTTCATATTGTATCTGGAGAGATCTAACACTTTGCTCCTGATTTCAAAAACAAGTACTTTTGAACAGTTTATTTCTACTTTAAATAATGAGTAATGCTTATAATTTCCTGCACTGAAGAGCAGCAAAATAAATTCCAATGATACAAAGATGCACGCTCCTCAGAAAAACCCAAACTGTGATTCTGCTAACATTTCTTTAGTCAAAATTTATCATAAATTATATGATATTAGAGACTTTAAAGTCACCTCTACCAATAACTGCAAATCTGTCCAGTGCCTAAACCTAAGGCTTTCAGTTTATTACAGCATAAACATGGATATAGCTTACTCCTTCTACCGGAAATCACAATGAAGCAAAGGAAAGTTTTCGACAGACAATATAACCTCAGTTTTCAGCAAAATCCAGAGGCAAATATAACCCACAGACTTTAAAATATGAGCAGAGGCTAAAAAGCAGCTAGAATCAAATATAAACCTCAATAAGGAAAAGAGGTAAGGAGAGTCCAGAGTGTGGCTGAAAAAACTACCAGCAGATCTCAGAAATGCTTTAATAGGGACCAGCGGGTGGAGTGATCATTAAGGCGCTGGATTCCTATATGGCCAACAATTCAAGTCCCAGACCTGGTGGCTTGAAAAATCACAACAAATAAATAAATGTTTTTAAAAAAAAATGCTGAAATACAAAACTATTTATGAATATACCGCAAGCTATATGCATAAGGTGTATACGAAACAAAGTTCATGTTTAGATTTGTGTCCCAACCCCAAGATACCTCATTTAGTATATGCAAATATTCCAAAATCTGAAAAAAATCCTAATTGTAAAATACTTCTGGCCTCAAGAATTTCAGATAAGGAATACTCAACTTGTATCAAAATCTTTAACTTGAAGTTTTTAAATATTACCTTTTTTTAGGTAAGAACAAATTCTAGTGTTATATAGTAGAGTAGAGTAGTAATACTTAACAATTTATTGTATATTTCAATTCAGATTTTTTTTTAAAAAAGACTATATGGGCCAGCAGTTGGCATAGCAGTTATGTCATTGGACTGCCACATGGCCTTCCACTGTTCAAGTTCCAGACCCGGTGACTTCAAACTCACATTGGTACGTGTATGTGCGTGCCCAAGATCCCAGGAGGAGAATGGAGGAAAAGGGATTGTGGTGTGTCCATCCCTACTCAGGGGTGATGCCATCCCTACTCAGTGGTGATTTCTCATTTTCCCTCTGTCTGTCTGTCAGTCTCTGTGTCTCTCTCTCCAGTGAGCACACACAACCTAAGGCAAAATCTCTTAGAAAGAAAAAAAAGACTTTAAATGTTTCCAACACAAAGAAATAATAAGCGTCTAAAATGACAGATAGCCTAATCGCCCTGACTTGATCTTTGCACGTTGTATTCTTATACTGAAAAAGGGCACTGTACCTAATAAACACATACAATTATTACATATTAATAATAATCTTAAAAATCATGTTTTTGGGGGCTGGTCCCACGGTCTAGTGGCTAAGGGAGCTAGATCCCAGGTAAATCATCAAGGTTCAAATCCCAGCCCCAGAAGCTTATATAAGCAAGCCATGCATGCGTGTGTGAATGCCCGAAATCCTGAAAGGTTGGAGAAAAGAAGGAGAAGGGACTAGAGCAGGACCACACCACACTGGGTGGTACTTTCTCCCTCTTCCTTTCCCTCTGTCTCTATCTCTCTATGGCAAGCCACATGTACCCTTCTGGAAAATTAAACTTTTTTAAAAAGGGAAAAGTAGACTCAGAATATTCATTATGATCCATTTCAAGTGTCAAAACAGCAAAAATAATAAAAGAAAACCTTCAATGTGTATGTATGTATGTATGAATATATATGTAAATAATTTTTAATAAAAATATGCATTAAATACTGTTTAGCTTCAAAAGGATTCAAAGCAGATCTAAAAAGTAATTTTCACTTCTTATGATAGTATGAAATTCACAGCTTTTTAAAAAACATAGTGTAGGATCAGCAGGTGGTGTGGTGGTTAAAGCGCTGGAGTTCTGGTGGCTGCTTTCTCAACTTCTCTCTCCCCCTTTCTCTCTCTCTCTCTCTCTCTCTCTCTCTCTCTCTCTCTCTCTCTCTGTGTGTGTGTGTGTATGTGTGTATGTGTGTGTGTGTGTCTCTCTCTGATCAATTTAAAAATAAATGAATGAATAAAAAGTCAAATAATTTTTTATAAATAAATAAATAAATAATATAATGTGTTCTAATAGTCATAAATCATAAACTAGTATAAGAAAAAGGCAGCAACATGGGTTAGATTTCTACCATTATGGATTTTACTAAAGGTAAGAAGCCTGGGAAGCATACATGTTTGACCAAAATAATACTATATCCAATTCAAGTAATTCCTGGTAAAGACAGAAATGTGTTATTCATGTTCTTCACACAAGCTGAATTATGACACATTGTAAGCACTAACCAGAAAACAAAAGAAATCTTTACCTTTCTTGACGTATAGATGTCAAAAAACGGTTTATTTCTAACACTAAATGGTTCCTGTGTTTTATCAATGAGTCCAGTTTTCATTTTTTCATGTCGAGGATTTATAATTTCTCGTTCTATACACTGCAGACGAACATTAAAATCACAGTCTCCAACTGGTTGTGCCTGAATTAAAGAGACAATTATTTAAATCTCAATATTAACAACAATTTTATCAACATAATTGTCAAGGTTGACACATTAGATACAGAAGACTATGTAAGCAGCAGCTTTCAGAGTTGTCGAGGGCACAACCTGAACAACCATACATGCCAGCCCCATATAATTAGTGTGACTGATGAGAGAAACCTATCTAAATACACACACAAGTTTATTTTTAAATTATAATCGCATAAAACAGTATGGGAAACGGAACTAGCAGTTGCCATAATAGCTATGTTGCTGGACTCCCATGTGGTTGACGGCAGTTTGAATCTTGGACCCGTTGGCTTAAACTCACACTGAGCACGTGTCCATGTGTGCCTAGGATCCCAAGAGGAAAATGGAGGAGAAGGGACTGCATGGCCATCCCCCCTGGGGGGTGATTTCTTGCTTTCTGTCTCTCTGTTTCTCTCTGTCTTTCTGATGAGCACATGTGCCCTAAAGCAAAAACCTCTCAAAAAAAAATTAAATTAAATTAAAAAAACACACACAAAAAAACCCAGTATGGGAAAATAGCATAAATCTACTAAAGTATAACTTCATCCAAAACTTTCATGATACAAAGATTTTGCATTTTGGGACCAGTAGTTAGCGTAATGGCTATGTCGCTGGACTCCCATGTGGTCAACCACAGTTCGAGTCCCAGATCCAATGGATTAAACTCACTCTGGGCGCATGTGTATGCATGCCCAAAAGATCCCAAGAGGAGAATGGAGGAGAAGGAATTGCGGCGTGACCATCCCCCCTGGGGGGTGATTTCTCGCTTTCTGTCTCTCTGTTTGTCTCTGTCTTCCTGGCGAGCGCACGCACCCTATAGCAAAAACCTCTCCAAAAAAAAAAAAAATGATTTCACATTTTAGTATAAATTTATCCAAAGATTTTCACATCTGATTTCACATCCAAAGACTTAATATCTGAACACTCAGTACACACTTTTATTATCTATATAAATTAGTAAAATAGCTGTTAAAAAAACTAAAATCCACATAATTCAGGAAAGTAAAGGCAAAAAATATAGAATAAGTCAACGCAGTCACCTCCTGTGTTTTTGTTGGTTAAAGTGCTAACATTTGGCAAGCATTCACAAGTAAAAGGTATTTAGTAAATAAATATACCCTCATTCTAAAAATATAAAAATTTACAAAATAAGACCAAAATCACATTTTTACAAAGAAATAAAGTTGTCTTCTCTACTCCCAAATAAACTTTCCCTTTATTGTCCTTAAGGTAAACATAATTTAAACTATGAAATAGTAAGTGCAGGGGCCAGCTCTTATTATTATTATATATCCCACATGCCAGTAGCATGTTTTATGTCCTGGATGTGGCAGCTTGAAAAACACAGCAGGCTAATGTGCATGCGTGCCCAAAAACCCGAGAGGAGAATAGAGGAGAAGAGATTGTAGTCTGGCCATCCACCCTGGGGGTGATTTTTCTCTTTCTCTCACTCCCGCTCTCTTGTGCTCTCTCTCTCTCTGCCCCTCTCCAGCACACTCACATGCTCTATAGCTAATTAACTAAATTAATAAATAAATAAAATGCTTTAAAAATTATAAGAAATAATTAAGTACATGTACATTTTTGCATGGGTTGAGGTTGGAGATTTGCCAAATCCATATGGTATATATGAGGGATTTATCCAAAAGTTCATGAAAAAAAATGTAGATTATGAAAAAACTATGCATGATTTTAAATTATTTGTACCAAAATAAACTCGTACTTTCATTCCATTTTCCACGAACCATATGTCACTTGTTGGACAATAATCATGCAGATTAGGTAAGCATCGCCTCTTTACTTTGCAATTGGACATTCATCCATGAAGTTTTTGCCCAATTTTTCCCTTTCCTTCCTCTTATCCAATCTGTATCACCCAACATAGCATACACCCAACCTAACATTAACATACTGTAGCAGCACTTGTTTAAGGAATGAACAACACTAGACTAAATGCCTCAGGAATGTCTTTTTCTCAACATTGGAAGGATGACAACGTTGTAACCCAGCATATAAGGATTAAGACAAAGAAAGAAAGTTAGGTATGAAGTAGATCATATTATCTTTATAAAAAAGGCATATAAGTGGGGACCAGCAGTTAGCGTAATGGCTATGTCGCTGGACTCCCATGTAGTCGACCGCGGTTCGCATCCCAGACCTGGTGGCTTAAAATTCACGCCGGGCGCGTGTGCGTGCACGCCCAAGATCCTGAGAGGAGAACAGAGGAGAAGGGATTGCGGTGTGGCCATCCCCCCTGGGGGGGGGATTTCTCGCTTTCTGTCTTTCTGTCTCTCTCTGTCTGTCTGGCGAGCACACGTACCCTATGGCAAAAACCTCTCAAAAAAAAAAAAAAGGCATATAACTGTAAAGGGTACTTGCTGAGGAAATACTAGTGAATAAATAAGCACATCATCCATGTGTGATCTTTTCTACATAACCTATACATGAACCAAGTTGATAAACTTCAAATGCTAGACTTGTTAATTAGGTCCATTAATGAAATCCCAACATCTATAAAATAAAAGTGGAACAAGCAAGCCCTCCTTTTTTCAAGAAAGAAAAGAAGTCTAACAATTGCTAAAAGATATGTAAGTAATCTAGATTCCTACTTAGATGCTTCCCACCTTAAAATATACCTAAATTCACCAAAACAAGAGTAGACTGAAAACAAACTTGGATAAACCATATTTTATCTTCAAATCTACAATGCCTGCTGTAATCCTCTACTTGATAGCTAGGTGTTAAATCAAGAATCAACTAGAGGAAATACTCAGTAACTACTGACTAACTGGTCTCACTGTTTCCAGCTTTTCCCTCACTTGCAAAAACTACCCATTCTGCCACTAGAAGCAAAACCATGAAAGTATAACTATATCATTACGGTAACTAAAACCCTTCAACAATGCCCTATTGCATCAATAACTAAGTTAAAATGCTTGTTCAAGTAGTCTGGTCCCCCGCCCACCAATCCATTCTCATTTTCTCCTATGTCGCACACCTCACCACAAATCAAGTATACTCACAAACCACCTAATGCTCATGCTCTACCAAGACTTGATCCTTTAAAAACTAATTTGTGTTACTTACTCTGCCTGCAATTCACAATGCTTCAGTGACTCAACTATAACCAGAGTAAGCTGGAATAACGTTTCTCTAACTACCACTATATCTCTTACATACATTTCTTGTTAACTTATAATATTATTATAAGTATTTCCTTTTTTTTTTAAAGGGTTTTCCTATAAAGCACATGCACTTGCCAGAGAGAAAGAGAGACAGTATAAAGGAAAGAGAGAAATCACACCCCAATGGATGGCCACGCTGCAATCCCTTCTCCTCCATTCTCCTGAAATTTTGGACACTCACACATGAACACGTGCCTGGCATGATTTTCAGGCTGTCAGGTCTGGGACTCGAACTGCGGTTGGCCAAGTGGGAGTCCAGCACTGTACCACTAAGCCACCTGCTGGCCCCTAAATATTTCCTTTTTTACTTGTTAAAGAGTATATGCATTAGCCATAGTGAGACGAAGAGAGAAAGAAAGGGAGAAAAAGTGAGAAAGCCCCCCCGCCCCCGACCCAAGGAATGGTCATGCTGCAATCCCTTCTCCATTTCTCCATCCTCTCAGGATTTTGGGCACACATACATGCACTCATACTCGGCATGTTTTTCAAGCTGCTGGGTGGGGTCCAGGACTCGAACGTACAGTTGACCATGTAGGATGCAGCCACCTTAACCACTATGCCACAGGCTGGTCCCCATTATACATATTTCTTTGTTTATATTCTCATTCAAAAATAAGTGGCCTATAAATTCGTTTTGATTTTATACCCAATCTAAACATATCATAAATAAATGTTTACAATATGTGCATATTATTTTAATGACTTGTATATATTTACAACTGTACATGTTATAAAACAGAGAAAATGGAACAAATAAACAGATTTGAAAATAAACACAGAACTGTATGTTCTTTCCAAATCTCAATGAACTGATGTGAAAATGGCCTTCTTTTGGAGATCAATGCACTACTATACGAATTCCAGGAAGTCAAGAAATTATGGGAACCAGCAGTTAGCGTAATGGCTATGTCGCTGGACTCCCACGTAGTCGACCGCGGTTGGCGTCCTGGACCCAGTGGCTTAAAACTCACGCCGGGCGCGTGTGCATGTGTGCCCAAGATCCCGAGAGGAGAATGGAGGAAAAGGGATTGCGGCATGACCATCCTCCCTGGGAGGCGATTTCTCACTTTCTGTCTCTATGTCTCTCTCTCTCTGGCGAGCGTACGCGCCCTATGGCAAAAACCTCTCAAAAAAAAAAAAAAAAAGAAATTATGTCTTATTCATTGCTATATACCTACTATATAGAACAATATTTGAAATATAAAAAATAATCAATGAAATTCTTCCCAACAAAATAATAAACTAAAGGACTGAAAGTATAACTGAATTTTTAAAAGTTTTTTCTAGGGGGACCAGCAGATGGCATAATGGTTATGTCACTGGTCTCCCACACAGTCAACCACAGTTCAAGTCTCAGACCCAACGGCTTAAACTCACGCCAGGCATATGTGCATGCATGCCCAAAACCCTGAGAGGAGAATGGAGGAGAAGGGATTGCAGACTGGCATTCCTTCTGGGGATTGATTTATCACTTTCTGTCTTCTCTGTCTCTGACTCTCTGGCGAGCACACACACCCTATATCAAAAATCTCTTTCACAAAAAGTTTTTTTATAATAACAGCCTTGATGTGTAATATAAAATAAAGTGCTTAACAACCATCCATGAAGAGTAAATTGAATAATTAAATATATGATGCTCCACAGCAAATTAAATAATTAAATATATGATGCTTTCAACTATAAATATACCCTAATAAAAGAAATATGACTTCAAATCATGGAATATGGTAAAAGGCACACAATAAATATTTATTGAATTAATGAGTATAGACCACAAGATGAAAAGCATAATCCTCTTTGGAACAAAATGTGGATGAACTTCCTTTATTTTAGGAATTTAAAGACTGGGACTCAAACCAGTCAGCCATGTGGGAGTCCAGCACCCCTAACCACCACGCCACCTGCCAGGCCCTGAAAGAATTTATTAAGACACAAAAACAATCTTTGAGAAGATCTGATAAGATTCATTACATTAAAATCTAAAACTTCTGTGCACCAACGGATAATGATATGGAAAATATATCATTTGCCACATATGTAACGAAGAAAAAAACTAGAATCCAGAAAAGATCATTAATTCTTACATAGTAAATAGAAAAATGATAGACAACTTAGTAGAAAAATTAAAAGAGTATACAAGCTTGCAGTTAAATCACAAAAGAAAATTTCCAGACAAATAAACACATCAAATATGTTCAACTTCCTTAGTAATGGGGGGGAGGGGGAACACAGGCAACCAAAAAAAAAGAAAAGAAGATTACATATACTTGCAATTAAGTCACACATAAAAAGAGTCCAAATAAATAAAATATATGAAATAGATACAATAGCATTAGTAATTAAAGAAAAGCAAATCAAAACAGGGTGAGATACCATTTCATAGACATCAAATTGGCAAATTTTTAAATGTTTGATAAAAAACCAACTGCAGCAAATTAGTATAACTGCTTCTGAGAGGAATTTAGCAATGCAGCTAGTAAAACTGAAGTCGTTAATTTAATCAGAATCTCCATGATACAGTGATGAGGAACTGTATTTTTTCTTTTAGGTTTTTGCCATAGGGTGTATATGCTTGCCTGAGAGCAAAAGCAAGAAGGAAAGTGAGAAATTACCCTTTCCCACCTGCACAGGAGGATGGCCTCACAGCTACTCCATCACCCATGGCGGGGATGGCCTAACTGCAATCCCTCTTTTCTATTCTTGTTATGGCATTTTGGGCATACATGCACATGTGCCAGGCGTGATTTTCAAGCCACTATGTCTGTGACTGAAACCACGATCAGTCATGTGGGAGTCCAACACCTTAACTACTATGCCACCTGCTGGCTCAAGGATTATACTTTCTTTTTTCTTTTTAAAGAATTATTTTTTATTTAACTTTATTTTATTTTAATTTAACAAAACAGGGACAGAGAGAGAGAGAGAAAGCAAGAAAGCAAGCCACCAAGTCTGGGACTTGAACCATGGTCGGCCATGTGGGAGTCCAGTGCCTTTAACCACCACTCTACCTGTAAGCCCTCGGGACTATACTTTCTAAAAACATTTTCTGGGTGATTAAATCCCAATAATGAGAACCACCGTCCAGAGAAACCGTCCCGTATGTGAACAAGAAAAAACATATAAAGCTGTTCAATACATCAATCTAAAATAGAAAAAAGATTGAAACCCAAATGTCCATCAAAAGAAAAAATTTTCTAGATTTATTCAATTTAATAATCAGCAGTAATTGGGACGAGCAGTTGGCGTAATGGTTATGTCGCTGACATCCCATGTAGTTGACTGCAGTTTGAGTCCCGGACCCGGTGGCTTAAACTCACGCCGGGCGCGTGTGCATGAGTGCCCAAGATCCCGAGAGGAGAATGAAGAAGGGATCACAGCATGGCCATCCTCCCCTGGGGGGTGATTTCTCGCTTTCTGTCTCTCTGTCTCTCTCTGTCTTCCTGACAAGCGCATGTGCCCTATAGCAAAAACCTCTTAAAAAAAAAAATAATAATAATCAGCAGTAATTAAAGTGGATGATAAATTAACACAGATAAATTTCAACAAAATAATATGGAGCAAATGTAGGGTTTACAGTACAGTACAGTGACATTTATGTAATTCTAGAAGCCTTGCAAAAGAACTCCACATATTTTATCAATATACACATAGAAGTATTTAAAACATGAGAATAGTCAGCCTCAAATTCAGGATAGAGACTGCTTTTAGGCAAGAGAATCTAAAATAGGATTGGAGAAGTATACACAAAAAGTTTCTATACCATTTGCAATAAATTATTTCTTATTAAAAAGAAAGTAGAGCAAAAATAATAAGCTTCACCAAATCTAGGTGATCAATACATGAGTATTCCTTATTGTCTATACTTTCAATTATGCTGAAAATGTTCACATTTTTTAAAGTATCAGAAGGCTTTTAGCTAAGACAGAGCTCCCAGGCTAAGTAAACCCACACCGAACGCATGTGAAAGCAAAGCTCAATCTCAAGAAAGGAAGAAGAAAGCACTTCCCCATTCACAAACAAAGCCACCCCCACCCCTTCTGTCTAGTTATAGGCCAACGAATGTTATTCCAAGATCTGTGATAAGCTTAAGCCAAATCTGGAAAGAAGTACTTTTGAGGAATACAGTAATAACAAACAGAATAAAATAAAAATTTGATGTTCTCTAGCCATGAGGGTCTTATATTTGAAACTACATGCTTGGAATACAGCAATTCAACCAAAAAAATGGTATATACATATTGAAAATTTCCAGAAGAAAATGCCTTTAAGTAAGATGGATTAATACAATTCTGAATCTTAACACTACAATTTATGACTTCTAGTCAGTTTGTCTTTTTTGTTGTTGTCATTATTCTTTTATATTTTTTAATTGTCAAAAATAAAACCTGCAGGCTTATTTTTTCAAATTGAGTCCAGGACAATTAAAACCAAGAAATAGGGACCAACAGTAGGTATAATGGCTATGTCGCTGGTCTCCCATTTAGTTGACCACGGTTTGACTCCGGGACCCAGTGGCTTAAATTCATGCCAGGCACATGTGCATGCATGCCCAAGATCCTGAGAGGAGAATGGAGAAGGGATTGCAGTATGGCCGGCACCCCCCCACACCCCGAGAGATTTCTCGCTTTCTGTCTTTCTGTCTCTGTCTTTCTGGTGAGAGCAAGTGCCCAATAGCAAAAACCTCTCCAAAACAAAAACAAAAAAAAAAAGAAAGAAAGAAAGAAATATCCATTTTCTAAAATGCTGTCTTATTTTATCAGCTTTAAATTGTTTTTTACTCACTTGAAGTTAAAGAAACCTGAACACAAAGAAATATGCAAAATATTAGGCAGATATTAGAAAGAAAGATATAAAAATATTAACAGAAAGATATATAGTGAGTAACCCTGAGTGACAAATTTTCTTTCCCACTGTGTCTGAGGCAGTAATATCTGCTTTTAATTTGTTAAAAATATACCTGCTATTTCAGTGGTAACTTTTATATTATAACTTATAAATTAAATAAATTATAAAAAGTACTTACATTGAACTTAATTATGTCGTATATCAAATATCTAGGGACAGCCTGTCCATTTACTCTGTCAATAATCATTTCCTTGAAAGAGAAAAGAAAATAAGTTTCTTCATGCTTTAATTGTAATTAATTTGAACACATGTACAGAAAGCACATAAATCATCGCTATGCAAAGTCACAAAATTTTACAGAGAACATACTTAAACTAAAATCAAATCAATAAACTGTCAGACACCAAAAGCCCCATCATGTGTTTTTCTTCTACACTGAAATAATACCATATGACAATATCTCATCATATTTTTAAATACCTGAGCTACTATGCTATATTTTATGTTTTAGATACTTTGGAGGAATTAGTAAAGAGACAATTTCTAAACTCTCAAAATCAGTATCCTTATAATTTTTTAAACTATTTCTTTCAATTATGTCATATGTAAATATTTTAATCATAAATCTTTAACAATAAATAGGGCCCTTATTGCAGTTTTAATTCCCATGTTACTATGTAGTCTTTCTCGGTTTCAGGACACTTAACAGGTAACAGAAAAAGATGACCAGATCATTGCATATCTAACACAGCCATTAAAAAATTCAAAATAAGGCCTGGAGGTGGCATAGAGATTAGGCAGCTGGATAACCCGTGTCCTACTGCAGGTTTGTTTCCTGGTCTCAGCAGCTGGAACAAGCGTGTACTTGTGTGTGTTCAAAACCCCAAGAGAAGAGCACCGTGATAAGGGCTGCAGCATGGTCATTCCCCTAGGGGGTTAATTTCTTACTTTGTCTCTCTCTCTCTCTCTCTCTCTCTCTCTCTCTTTCACTGTGTGTGTGTGTGTGTGTGTGTGTGTATTTCTCTCTCTGGCGAGTGCACACACCCTGGAACAAATTAAAAAATAATAATAATAATAAAAACCAGGGCCAGCAGGTGGAATAGTGCTTACAGCACTAGACTCCCACATGGCCCGCTGAGGTTCACATCCCAGACCAAGTCACTTGAAAATCATGCCAGGCACAAATGTGTGCATGCACCAAATCCCAACAGGAAAGAGAGAAAGTGAGAAAGCAAGGCACCAGGTCGGGGACTAAAACAGCAGTGGCCATATGAAGGGCCAGCGCCTTAACTGTCATGCCACCTGCTCACCATGAAATTTTAATTCTTAATTAAGTTTGTTTTATTAGGGAAGGGATTTTTTATATAGGAGACATGCACTCACCAGAGAGAAAAGAGCAAGATGGAGAGAGAGAAAGTGAGAAATCACCCCCACAAGGGGATGCCATATCACAATCCTATCTCTTCCATTCTCCTCTCAGGAAGCAAATCCTGCCACATGCTGTACAACATAGATGAACCCTGAGAACATTATGCTAAGTGAAATAAGCCAGTCACAAAAAAAAGAAAAGAAAAGAAAAGGAAACCACTGGTATGATTCCACTTACATGAGGTAGCCAAGTAGTAAAATTCTCAAAAACAGAAAGTAGAGTAATGGATGCCAGGGAATGGAAGAGGAAGGAAATGAGGAATTCTTTAATGACTGTAGAGTTACTCACTTTTGCAAGATGAAAAAGTTCTGGAGATCAACTACAGGGTAATGATAATATTCTTAACATCACTGATTTGTCGTCTTAAAAATAGTTAAGATGGTACATTTTATGTTACCATGAAAAATTTAGACCTAGCCATAGTGGTACGAGCCCCAGAGCACTAGTGATACAAGCTTCCAAGGCCAGGGTGGCATGCATGGAAGGCTTGTTGGGTTCAGTTCTAGGACCTACCAAAACAGGCTGGGTCCCATAGCACTTGCCTATAATCCTGACTAACTGGGAGCCAGAAGCAGAAGGATGGCAACATGGTGAGACACTGTCAAAATACCTATCTTGAGCTAACTTGGTGGCCCAGCAATAAGCTCTGCTCAAGCAATGCTGAATCCATGCAGATGACGGATCAGTTTCCCATCCCAAGATCCTAGCTGTCCAAGAAGGCTGGAGGATCACAGTGTGAAACCTTGTTGAGGGTACGTGTCTTTATCTTTCTTTGTCTGTCATACTCATGAAAGGAATAAATTACTATAAATAAATAAATAAATAAACAAAAAAATTTCCCATCTGCAAAAAACAGATTTGTTTGATGTACTGAACTGCAGTGCTGGAAATCATATGGCCAAGGACAGATCTGGATCTCCAGGCTGGCCTAGTAACAAACTGGGTGCACATGTACACACATGCAAAAGACTCCAAGGAGCCTGAGAGTGAGAGAAAGGGGAATCAATGATGCGACGAACCCTGATGAAGGGTCTTTTCTCCATTTCTCTTTCTCTACCTCATACACACATATGCTCCCCCTATCATGAGTGAAAAATGAATGAATAAAAATAATTACCATGCATGTAAATATGACCCATAAAGGGGAGAAAAATCAACTGAAAGCAGCCCATAACTAACAGAAATATTTAAAGTTAGCAGGTAAAAATACGAAGACAGTTTAGTCTATTTTTATATATATTGGGTTGTCAGAAAAATCATGTCACATTTTTGTGTATGAAAACAGAAAAATATATCATGACTTTTACAACATTCTAATAGTTTAAAAGTGAAAAAGTTGATGAGGACAGCAGATGGAGTGGTAGTTAAGGCATTTGGACTCCCACATGGCCAATAATGGTTTGCTTCTCAGACCTAGAGGCTTGCTTTCTCACTTTCCCTCTCTCTCTCTCTCTCTCTCTCTCTGTCTCTCTGGTAAATTAAAAAAGAAGAAATAAAATTAAATAAGAATTCTTAAAAAAAAAAAAGAAAGAAAGGTTGAGGGACCACCATTTAGCATAATAACCATATTGCTGAACTCCCATGTGGTTGAACGCGGTTCAAGTCCTGGGCCCAGGGGCTTAAACTCACACCAGGCACGTGTGCATGCGTGCCCAAGATCCTGAGAGGAGAATGGAGGAGAAGGGATTCTGGCGTGGCCATCCCTGCTGGGGGGGGTGATTTCTCACTTTCTATCTCTCTGTCTCTGTCTGTCGGGCGAGTGCACGCGCCCTATAGCAAAAACTTCTCAAAAAAAGAAACTTATCTAAAATAAAAAATGATAGGAAAATATCTTTAGATAAATCTATTTTATTTCTTCATTAATTTTTTAAATTTGCTATTGGGTATGTGCCCTCACCAGAGAGCAAAAGAGAGAGGCAGAGAGAGAAGAGAGAGAGGGACAATAAAAAAGCGAGCCTCCAGGTCTGGGACACAAACCACGGTGAGCCATGTGGGAGTCCATCAACCCACCTGCTGGCCCCAAGATTTTTTTTTAATAAAAAGAGCTTTGTAATTATATCACTGAAGTAGGGAGAAGTAGAAATAATGGCAAAATCTTTTCCACTTTTGATAAAAAATGTAAACTCACAGAAGTTCTATAAACCCTAAGCACAAAAATCCTAAAGAAAATTACCAAGTTTATAATCTTCAAGAACTTATCAGAGGGACCAGCAGTTAGTGTAATGGCTATGTCACTGGACTCCCAGTCAACTGCGGTTCAAGTCCTAGACCTGGTGGCTTAAACTCACACCGGGCGCATGTGCATGCGTGCCCAAGATCCCGAGAGGAAAATGAAGGAGAAGGGATTACGGCATGGCCATGCCCCCTGGGGAGTGATTTCCCGCTTTCTGTCTCTCTGTCTCTCTCTGTCTTTCTGGCGAGTACACGTGCCTTATAGCAAAAAAAAAAACCTCTCCAAAAAAAGAAGAAAAAAAAAAAAAAGAACTTATTCTATAGCATTTGTGATTGAATGTTTCTATGGAAAAATCTGATGCTTGAAGTCTGTCAGTACAGTCCCCATCAAAAAATTATTTTTCCACAAGCACTGTTCTTATTACAGAGTCCTAACCACTTGAGCAGCAGGAGGAGGGAAAGAAGTTCCTTTTACAATCCAGAGGACTCCATATGTCGGTTTGTTGTTACCAAACACAAAGGCAAGTAGCATCATGTATTTGGTAAACTAATCACAGTAAACTAGTTTCTCTCTGTTTTACTCCAAACATGGTAAATTTGGACTACCTACAGTGATACAATACTTCATGATGCTGAAGCCACATGGGAAGATCTGGGTTTGCACCCCCAAGGTCTCTTATACATACTGGGTATGCACATCCATGCCCATGATCCCAGCTAGTCTGGCTGAGGTGGGGGATCTCAGAATAAAGACCCTATTGAGGGTATCTGTCTCTATCACTGTCTTTCATTCTATCTCTTATTCTCTTTCTCTCTTTCAGGAAAGGGATAAACATTTTTTAAAAAATAGTTTCATGGTACATGGATTATATCTCAATTTTTAAAAATAAAACTAAATTTTACGCAGGCCCTGGAGCCTGGTGATTAAGGGCGCCATACCTCACATGGCTGACCAAGAGGTTCCAATCCCAGTCTTGGCCGCTTAAAACACACCTGGTATGTGTGTATGCATTCCCGTAATCCCAATAGAACAAAGAAATGGAGAAAGGATTGCACTGTGACCACACCCCACTGCAGAGGTGCTTTTTCCCTTCCTCTCTGTCTCACTGTCTTTCTCTATGGTGAGGACACACCCTCTCTGGCAATTTGAAAGAAAAAGACAATTTTTCCAAGATTTTGCTATTACCTTTAATTATTAACTGCTAATTTTTTCTTAGCCTCAATATTAAACTCATTAAACTTCATTTGTTTCAAATGAATTAATGTCATATTGCTAAACTTTTTTCCACATGTTATGGGTCAAGAAACATAATTTAGCAGAGCAAAACAAAAGCTTCAATGCTCATATCTGACAAGCAGACAATTAGGTGGTTTGAGTTATTCTTGGATTTGGAATTTTACAAAAACATTTTGCAAATGAAAATGTAAAGAAACAGGAAACTACAGAGAACTATTTTAATTAACTAAGGGGAAAAACAGATATGGCAACTATAATTCTGGCCCAAGTAAATTGACATCATGAGTCACACTGCTATTTTGGAGTCCTACAAGAATGTATTATGCTGCTCTCAGTTATCCAAGTTTGGGGTGAAAATAAATAGTATTGTGAAGTTAAGTCTTCAGACGATTAAATATTCAATTTTTAAACA